GCCCCCAGGCAGCATCTGAAAAATGATTTCCTGAAAGGCACAGGGTTTGGATGGGAGGGTCAGGAGAGGAAGGACTTTCTGGCAGAGTGGAGATGGGAAACAGTAGATGGATGTGCAGGGAACCACCAGGAGCTGGCCCCGCCAGAGCGGGTCCCCACCAGGCCAGCCTCCCAGTGGGGGCCATGGACACCCGGGCTCTTCTCCCCCAGGCTTCACTCTCTTTGGCCACTTTCTGCCCAGCGCCATCTGTGGGCAGTGACCTGGGGAGGCTGCAGGAAGCAGGGACAACAATTGAGTCACCTGTTGTTAAAACCTCTGCCCCCCAAGCTGAGATTTCCCACATGGGGTAGCCCTGCCAACCTGTGCCCTCCATCAACACCAAGATGCCCCCATGGGCCTCAGTGTCATAAAGGACTCCTGAAAATACCGCCTGCCTGAGAGGAGACAGAGCCGACTGTGAAACACTCCTCAGCTTCCCTGCTGCTTACGCAAAGGTTGGGTTGAAGCTCAGCGTGGGGCGCCACCACTGGGGTGGGGGGGGGGCTGTGTCAGGCCGGCCACCCACGCCAAGGCTGAAGATAAGACGAGAAGGGGAGAGGGGAGTGCCCCCTGGGGGCATGTGGCCGGGCCCAGGAGGGCACTGTTTATCTTTGCAACCTAGCAGCCATCTCTGGTTGGTCTCCTAAAATACCTCGGTCAGCCTCCCGGCAGGAGTGTCCAGAGGGAGAGGAGGCGTATGTGCTGAGGTCGGCACTAGGTTTTCATAATGGATCAAATCATTTCTGTGATTAAAAGGCAAGGCCTTGGGAAATTAGTCACACAAGTGGGAATTGTGCCTGCCTCCATCAGAATCACCTGGGGATTCCCAGAAACCATCCAGGAGATTCTGATGCAGGGATTCTAGGTTGAGGCCTGAGTCCCTTCTCTCCTTCCCTCCCTCTCTCCCACTCTTCCCTCCTTCCTTCCCCATGCAAGGCCCCTAGAAAGCTTAGAATAATAAGAACATGTGGGGCTGAGTGTTGTGGCTCACGCCTGTAATCCCAGCACTTTGGGAGGCAGGGGCATGATACGAGGATTGCTTGAGGTCAGGAGTTCGACACCAGCCTGGCCAACATGGTGAAACCCCGTCTGTACTAAAAATACAAAAGTTAGCTGGGCATGGTGGCATGCAACTGTAATCCCAGCTACTCGGGAGGTGGAGGCAGGAGAATCTCTTGAACCTGGGAGGCGGAGGCATGAGAATCTCTTGAACCTGGGAGGCGGAGGTTGCAGTGAGCCGTGATCATGCCATTGCACCCCAGCCTGGGCAACAAGAGTAAAACTCCATCTCAAAAAAAAAAGCCACGTTGGATCCACACATGGCCATGGATCCCTACTGTGTGCAGAGCGGTCGGCATCCTAGCCCTCTGAGACTGGCCTAGAGGAGGCCTCCTCCTCTGCCTCCTAGAGCTGGAGACGCAGCGTCTTTTGCCTCTGTCCTGCTGAAGGGAGTCCCTCATTCAAGTGGCAATGCTGCCACCTCCTGGTCAGTCTTAGAACTGTTCCCCACTCTGAATGCTTGGTGTAGATAGAGGCAGGGAGCAGGGAGAGGCCGCCCTCCATCTCTGGCTCTGCCTTTGAATATCTTCTTCTAAGAAGCGCAGTGTCCCCGAAACACGCACTTCTTTTGGTGCCTCTCGTCTTCCCTGGAAAGCCACCAGTCAACAGGCAGCTCTTGCTCACCTACCACCTTGCCTTGAATTCAGTGCAACTCAGCATGTGTTTGTGGATTTGAGGCAGGCGGGAGCTTGCAATACACAGGACACTTTTGCAGAAGGGAGTCAGAAGTGGCGGGATTCGTGAATATGGATAATTTCTATCTGCGGTGATGTCTGAGCTGAGTCCTGAAGGATAAGCCAACGTTAACCAGTTGAAAAATGGGGAAGATTCCAGGTAAAAGGACCAGCAAGACAGGAATTGCGAGCCTTTTTAATAGAAACTTAATTGCTATATTTTTTTAATCCATCTCTTTGCTGCCCCCAAGAGGAGAGACTACGCACCTTTCCCCTCAATTTCTGGGCAGGTTTAAAAGATTAAGAGAAAGGAAAACAGGTTTTTCAATTTAGCTAATAATTAGGATCTAAGGGCCTCCCAGGTCCATGGCGAAAATCAAGACGGAGGCCTGGGTTTCAGAGACAAAGCAATGCACACCAAGGAAGCGGGAGGCAGGGAAGAGCCTCCCCTGGTAGACAGTTCTCTGGGCCAGTGTGGGGAGAGGACTCCAGGCCATTACCCCGCCCTGATTCCTGCAGTGCCCCAGAGGGAAGTGTCTGCATAGTGGAAGAAGATCTGGATGTCAGCCTTGCAATGAATTCCCAGGTCCTGAGAATGGCAGAGAGGCATCCTGAAGCCAGAGACCTGTGATACAGGCTGAAAGAGCCCCAGATTTCACTCTTGTAACCCATGTGGACAAATGCCCAGGAATCAGCCTCCTTGAGTCTGCAAGGGACTCGAGAACCTTGACTTTGTCCCAGAAGTAGAGAAATACAAATTCAAACCACAATGAGGAAATGAAGAAACTCAATGTGCTTGCACCAGGGTGTAGAGCAGATTCATATGGGTCATGGGTGCAAAGGAGACCAAGACAGAGCCCCTGGTATTGAGACAATTGCAGGGAGAGCAGTACACTTCTGGGTGATTTGGGGCAAACCACTTGCCCTCTTGGCCTTGGTGTAATCTTCAGTGACAGGATGAGGAGAATGAACACAGAATCTCAAAGCCCCTTTCTGCTGTAAGAGTCTATGGAAATGCAGACCATGTGTACTGTGAGAGATCGGGGGAGGCGCAGGGTGTGTCGGAATGACCAGAAGAGTCTTTGTGAATGCAATTTTGAAAACTGGCAAGAAGCAAAGGAATAATGACAACAAAGAATTTAGTGTGGTGGGAATGGTCTGTGCAGGGTGCTGGTGTGGGCCTGTGCAAAGTGTGCAGATGACAGACCAGACCCAGCTAGCTGGGGAGGGAGGTTCTAAGGAGGAACAGCCCAGAGACAACAGGAGGACGGTGGGTGGGTGTCAGCACTCTCTCTTCTTTTAGAGGAAAAGGAAAAGGCAGAGTTCACAGTGGAGAAAGTAGGAAAGATAGCCTTGAGAATCCCAACTGTGTGTGTGTGTGTGTGTGTGTGTGTGCGTGTGTGTATATATATATATATATATTTTTTTTTTTTTTTTTTTTTTGAGACAAAGCCTCCCTCTGTCGTTCAGGCTGGAGTGCAGCAGCGCGATCTCAGCTCACTGCCACCTCCTTCTCCTGGGTTCAAGCGATTCTCATGCCTCAGCCTCTGGAATTACAGGCATGTGTCACCACATGTCTATTTTTTTTTTTTTTTTTTTGTATTTTTAGTAGAGATGAGGTTTCACCATGTTGGTCAGGCTGGTCTCGAACTCCTAACCTCAGGTGATCCGCCCACCATGGCCTCCCAGAGTGCTGGGATTACAGGCGTGAGCCACCGCACTTGGCCTCCAACTATATTTACAGCAACTTTCATGTTGAGCAGATGCTCTGCAAAGCCGTTCCTGAACAAGTCCTCAGATTTGCACTTCCGCCCTCTACTGGTAGAAACATGGAACATGGGACGAGTGTGTTTCCATTGGCACTGTGTGTACGCCCAGGGAGAAAGCACAGGAAGGCTGTGGGCTATCTAGACACAGGCCACCATGCTCCAGAGCCCCCCGCTGAGCCAGCCAGTGGGAGCCGAGTGTAGGCAGCCCATGCTCTGCTACTTCCTTTCCCTAGAGCTTTTCTTTAGATGCCCCAGTTGGTCAAAAACAAGCGTTCTGAGGTGTGAAATGTTCTGTTCACTGGTACCAGAGAAGTTTCATAAAGCCTTGAACACAGACAGCCAAAATGCCTCACTCCCACACCGTCTGAACCTGATTTAATCCTACTCTGACAACGTAGAAGACACCAGCTTGAACACGAGGTGTGGCGAGTGTTGGGCCAGACCAGGGGCTCTGGAATCAGACTTCATGGGTCGAATCTTTGCTCTGTCACTTACCTGCTATGTGACAAAGGGGAATCTACTTAACCTCCCTTGTGCCTCAGATTCCTCTTGTACAAGATGGAGATGAAAGTATCTGCCTGTCTGTGCTGTGATTCCGGCCTGGCACCTGCTAAGCACACAATAAACTTAAGTATGGTCATTTCACAAGGCATCAGGGTGTTACTTGGGGTGTCAAGCTAGAGAGAAGAAGTATGAAAGCTCATAGTTTGGAAGAGGACTGAGACATTTTATAATCATTCCATCCAGTTGTTCTCTTGCTTTTTGTCTTCTTGTCATTAGGTTAACATGGAGAAGGTATCCTAACTACAAAGCTGGTGACTGAGGCTGTCTGGGTGGTGTGTGGGAGGCCCCTGGGCCGGGACATCCTGCAGCTCTGGCAGTTCTGTGATCCTACCAATTTCCCCCCAGACGGCACTAGGCCTTGTCTTGTGCCCCAGAAGGTTGGGGTCACTGGGCTCCCAGATGGCATATCTACACTTGCTCTGGAGCCAAACACAGGAGGGGCCGAATTTGATCAGATTCTGCTTCTGGTCATAATTCTTCTGCAAAAGAGTTATATATACCTTTTATATACAAAGACAAAAAGCCATCTTCAATGGGCCCCAGGGACCCCCGGAAAGAGCCCAACTTCATAGCATGTCCTGCAGGGCTGCCTGGGCACGCTCATCCCTATAGCATCATCCCCACACTCTGCTACATTCCAGCCATCCTCACCAGCTCATGGCCCCTCACACTCTCAGCAGCCCCCACCCTCTCCTCACTAACTCCTGACCATAGGCCTCTGCTTAGCCATGTTCTGAAACATGGCTCCCACTGTCCACTGCCCACCTCCACTACCCCCATCCCCACTGTGGCTCAGTTAATAGTTTCTCCTGTGTGCTCCCACATGCTTCAGGTCTACCCCATCACAGCCCTTAGGACGCTCTCAAACCACCTGCTCCCCTCTTTGCTTCACCAGACTGTAAAGTAACTTGAAGATAGAGACTGTGTGTGGATTTCTATGGCTTCAGTGGCACCAAACACAGCACTGTGATTTAAAGAGGATGTTCAGCAAGATTTCTTAAGGAAACGACACTCAAGGTGAGATTTGAGGGATTGGGGTGGGGAAGAGGTACAATTTCAAGAAAGGAAGGAACATGCCAGCAAGTACAAAGGCCCTGGGGTCGGAAAGAACTTGATGTATCCAAGGAACATGCTAAGGAGAGTGTGGCTGGAATGTAGGGAGGTAGCGGGAAGGTGGCGTGGGATTTGGTTTGGAAGGTTCAAAGCATGGTGGGAAATAACTGAAACATGTTAAATTGGATGGAAACAATATCCTGTATCCTCCACATCTTCTGTTCCCCTTTTTGCTCTCATGAAACATGGCGCTCTTCTGAGAACGGTTCCCTGCAGCCTTCTCAAGGGGAGGATTAATTTTCTCTTCTACAACCCTCCTACCACTGGGTGGGGCAAGTGTCTTCCTCACTCCTTTGCTCTTTCAGACCATCCTCAAAACTTCCCAGCTTCGAATAAGCAGCCTGCGGCAGCCACCACTCCTCCATGAAGTCTCCTACAAAGCCCACATGGCTTCCTCTCATTCCTTATATGGATCTCGGCACTCGGTTCACTGTCATTCTCACCAACCCGCTTGCCATCGTTCTAGCACCTACAGCTCAGCGGAGCTGGCTTCTTGCTTCCCTGAGTCCGTGAACTCCTCTCCTCCAAGGATATTGTCCTTTACTACATCAAATACACAAATGGCCCAAATCTAACGCCTATCATCAATAACAACTACACCCCCCTGCAGTCTCAATGTGGCTCCTCCTCTGGCCAGCACCTCCTTAAACTTCCCAACTCGCCGCCCCTGGAATCCACCATCACCCATCCTTCCACCCAGTGGGAGCCCAGCCCTTACACCTTTTAACTCATCCTGCTCCCCTCAGGCTCTCTCCCCTCCTCTGACTTGGCTTCAGTTCCATGGTTCATCACGTTAATCACTTCTTTTTCATACCCCCTCATCTTCAGTATCTGTCTTTAGTGTCATTGCATTTGTTTGGCAAAACTCTAACGATGGTGAACTCCAAGCTTCTGCCCACACAGCCAATGCTGGGGGAAAGCACACCATCTTCCTGCTGGCCTAACTTTAATTCATGGCCGCTAACCTAGGGTGGGCCTTTATTGCTGCCTGGTAAGTATGAACCCATTCACTCTGCAAATGAGTATTTTATGCATATTTTCTCTTTAGACTTCCCATATCCCTCCACTATCATCCATCTCAGCCAACAACCTTGCTTCTTCTTTTTTTGAAATGGAATTTCACTCTTGTTGCCCATGCTGGAGTGCAATGGCGCGATTTTGGCTCACTGCAACCTCTGCTCCCACCCCCGGGTTCAAGAGATTCTCCTGCCTCAGCCTCCTGAGTAGCTGGAATTACAAGCTTGCGCCACCACACCCAGCTCATTTTTGAATTTTTAGTAGAGATGGGATTTCTCCATGTTGGTCAGGCTGGTCTTGAACTCCCAACCTCAGGTGATCCGCCCGCCTCGGTGGCCCAAAGTGCCAGGATTACAGGTGTGAGCCACTGCACCCAGCCGATCTTGCTTCTTATTTTGCCAAGAAAAAACAACCCAAGTAAGTGGTACTTCCTCCAGCTGCCACCTCCACATCTGACTACACACCCATGCCTGTGTTTGTGACTTCCACTCTCCATTCGCTGTGGACCAGCTGCCTGTGCAGAGGCCGCTCCTGTACAGACCCTGAGTCCATCCTCTCTCATTTCTCTATTCCCCACTCCTTGAATAACATGCTTAGACTCACAGACTACAATCTCTCTCCGTGAAAGCTACTCCAGTCATGCTTGATCCCCATGTAGCTGACTTGGATGGTCAATTCTTAGTTCTCATTAAGATGAGCTTTCAGCAGCATTTGTCATAAGGCAGCATTCCCTTCTCCTGGAACCATTTTCTTCCCTTGGCCTCCAGAGTACCACACACACCTGACTTCTCTTCAAACCCTTTGTCCACACTTTGTCACCTCTTTTGCTGGTCATTTCGCATCTCCCCTACTTGGTTCAGGGCTCAGTCCTCGAATCTCTTCTTTTCACCATGTACACTCCTTTGGTGACTCAGAAATCCCATGGCTTTAAGTGCAATCCACACATAACTCAAATTGTATTTTCTACCAGGATCCTCATCTTGAAATCCAGATGCCTCTCCAAGTGTCTCATCGATGTTTCCAAGTGGAAACCTCTTCCAAATGGAAGCTCCCTGGAAATTCTCCCCTAGAATCTGCTTCTCCCACAGTCTCCCCCTGCTCAGTTAATGGCAGTTCCATCCTTCTGGTTGTTCAGGCCAAAAACCTTAGAGTCGTCATTGACTCCTCTTTCTCTCACACCTCATCTCCAATGTTAGCTCTAACTTCAAAACATATCTAGAAATTGACCATTGCTCACCATTTCTGACAACTCTGGTCCAAGCCACCATTATCTCTCACCCAGATTACTGCAAAGCTTCCTAACTGATCTTCCTGAGTCCACCATTGCTCCCATCGGCTTTCTTAAAACAGCAGTCAGAGTGATCTGGTTAAAACATTACTCAGAGAAAATGCCAAACTCCTTTCAAGGACCTGCAAGACCCTGTGCGTTCCGGCCAGGACTTGGCCTCTTCTTTCTCTTTCCCCTGCTCATTCCATCCACCTGAGTGTCCTTGACCCACACCCTTCAGGTCTCTGTACCAGTTCTTCCCCTTCCGACTTCTCCCAGATATTTGCACATCTTCCTCCCTTGCCTCCTTTAAAATTTTGCACGGAAGTCATCTTAATGAGATCAGATTTGTCCATGGAATTTAAATTGCAGTCTCTACCCCTACGCTTCCAATCCCCTTAACACTGCTCTATTTTTTCCCCATAGAACTTATTGGGGAAGGAGGGTGTGGGTTGGAAGGGTTTAAAATAAAATAAAAGAAATGATTTCTCTCCCATGCTACATATTCGCCATGGGCAGCAGACACGCTCTGTTCATTACAGCCACCCCAGGTTCCTGGCTGATGGAGCTGCCATCATCTCAAATGTTAGTTACTGGTTGCCCTGAGAGAAGGCAGAGGGAGCTCAGAGTCCCAGAGAGGCAATTATATGCTTTGCCTGAAAGACATATGCTAGGAAGGGAGAAAACTCGAAATATTGTATTTGATGGACAATGTCAAATGCTTACTAGGCAGTTACAAAACACTTATTAAACGAACAAATAAATCAATTCGAGGGAGTGACTCTGAGGTCTCTGCGTTGGAGAAGTCTTATCGAGGGGTAATTAAGACAGGGAGAAAACATGATGTGGGAGTCAGTGACTAATCAGATGTGCCTGGTGTAAAAAGTCCAGTTTGGCTACCAGATTTTTAGGCTGGGTGAGGGGAGGAAGAGTGATGCCAATTAAAGAAAAACAGGCCGGGCGCAGCGGCTCACACTTGTAATCCCAGCACTTTGTGAGGCTGAGGTGGGTGGGTCACCTGAGGTCAGGAGTTCAAGATCAGCCTGGCAAACATGGTGAAACCCTGTCACTACTAAAAATACAAAAATTAGCTGGGTATGGTGGTGTGCACCTGTAGTTCCAGCTACTCAGGAGGCTGAGGCAGGAGAATTGCTTGAACCCAGGAGGTGGAGGTTGCAGTGAGCTGAGATTGCACCATTGCACTCCAGCCTGGGTGACAAGAGAGAAACTTTGTCTCAGAAAAAGAAAAGAAACGGAAACAGAAGGAGGTACAAGTTTAGGTATGTTCCTATGTGTGTGTTAGTAAAGTGTAAACAAGACATCTATAGTTTATTTCCAACTTTTTTTATTGTGGTAAAATACACAAAGTATAAAGTTAACCACCTTAACGTTTTTTTTTTGTTTTTTTTTTTTTTTTTTTTTTTTTTTGAGACGGAGTTTCGCTCTTGTTACCCAGGCTGGAGTGCAATGGAGCGATCTCGGCTCACCGCAACCTCCGCCTCCTGGGTTCAGGCAATTCTCCTGCCTCAGCCTCCCGAGTAGCTGGATTACAGGCACGCGCCACCACGCCCAGCTAATTTTTTGTATTTTTAGTAGAGACGGGGTTTCACCATGTTGAACAGGATGGTCTCGATCTCTTGACCTCGTGATCCACCCGCCTCGGCCTCCCAAAGTGCTGGGATTACAGGCTTGAGCCACCGCGTCCGGCCACCTTAACCATTTTTAAGTGCACAGCAGAATGATATTACTACAATGATTCTCTACTTACAATGGCTCAACTTAAACATTTTCGAGTTTACAATGGTGTGAGAGTGTACCGCATTCACTAGAAACTGAACTTGAAAGTCTGAATCTTGACATTTTCCCAGGCTAGCGATGTGCAGTGTGATACTCTCGCAATCTGGGCAGCAGCATCAAGCCGCAGCTGTCAATCAGCCACGCCATCACGAGGGTAAAGGCGATACTCTCCCATGGACTGTGATGCAGATGATTCTGTTCAACTGGAGGCCAGTGTAAGTGTTCCAGGCACGTTTCAGGTGGGCGAGGCTCAGCTGCAATGCTTGATGGGTTAGGTGTACTAAGTGCATTAGGGATTTTTTCCCTTATGATGGGGTTATCAAGATATAACCCCATCATACGTTAAGAAGCATCTGTACATTCATACTGTTGTGAACCCCCATCTCCACCATCCATTTCTAGAACTTTTGTCATCTTGCAAAACTGAGTACTTGTTATTTTCTAGAGTTTTTCTAATGGTATTAGCCATTCTAATGGGTGTGCGATAGTATCTCATTGTGGTTCTGATTTGGACTTTGAGCATTTTTTCATGTGCTTATTGGCCATTTATATATCTTCTTTGGAGAAATGCTGATTCAAGTCCTTTGCCCATTTTTTAATAAGTTGTTTGGTTTCACCATGTTGTGCAGGGTGGTTTCAAACTCCTGAGCTCAGGTGATCCGCCTGTCTTGGCCTCTCAAAGTGCTGGGATTACAGGCATGAGACTCTGTGCCTGGCCAGTGACCTCACTTTTTGTTGGATAAAATCTATTATTTTGTCAGCAGGCCCTTTCTCAGCATAATGCTTTTATTTTACAGGTCAGGCACAGGGGACTGGCTAGGAAGAAGATCTGGTTTCTGCTCTGAAGGAAGGTCTAGACTATGATAGGGACACAGACGGTTATAGAGAACTTCACCAAATATGGAGAACAAGGAAGTGTTTTACGGATATGCAAGTTAACTATTCTAAGCTATACAATTTGTAGGAACAAAATTGTTTATAATATTACCTTATTATTATTTCAGTGTCTTTAGAATCTATAGAGATGTCATATCTTGTGTTCCTGATGGTTAAATTTAGGATGTGTTTTCTCTCTTTTTTACTTAATCAGTCGGATCAGAGGTTTTTCAATTTTATTGATTTTCTCAAGAATCAGATTTTGGTTCCATTGTTATTGTTGTTTCTCTCTCTCTCTCTGTCTCCCTTTCAGGTGATGGAGTCTCACTCTATCACCCAGGCTGTAGTACAGTGGCACAATCTCAGCTTACTGCATCTCCTCCTCTCAGGTTCAAGCAATTCTCCTGCCTCAGCCTCCAGAGTAGCTAGGATTACAGGCATGTGCCACCACACCTGGCTAATTTTTGTATTCTTAGTAGAGATGGGGTTTCACCATGTTGCCCAGGCTGGTCTCAAATTCCCGACCTCAAGTGATTCACCTATTTTGGCCTCCCAGTGCTGGGATTACAGGTATAAGACACCATGCCCAGCCAATATTGTTGTTTTTCTGTTGTATTTGTTTTCTATTTTATTGCTTTTGACTGTAATCTTCATCATTTCTTTTCTCTACTAACTTTGAATTTACTTCATCTTCTTATTCCTAGTTTTTTAAAATGGAAACTAAGGTCATTATCTGAGAACTTTCTTCTTTTATCGGATAGGCTTTTAGTTCTGTAAGCTCCTGATGGCTGCAATTTGTGTTGGTTTTGTTCACTCATAAAACCCTAAAGCCTAAATTGGTCCATAGTAAGCACTAAACAAATGTTTGTCAAATGAATGAATTGGTGCCTCCCTCTACCCAAAACTCCCTGAATGGTTCCCATCTTACTCCAGATAAAGCCAGTTCCTTACATAATCTTCACCGTTGTACACAATCAGGCTTTTGCTACTCTGTCCTGTTTTTCTGCTGCCTTTCCTTCAGCTACACTGGCTGTCTGTCAAACATGCCAGGCAGAATACGAACTCATGGCCTTTACGTTTACTGCTCTGCCAAGAACACACTTTCTCTTCCCTTCCCTGCATCCCCAACCAAAAGAGTGACATGGCTTACTCCTTCGCCTCTTTCATGTACTTGTCGAAAGTCACATCAGTCTTTCTGGATGGCCCTCTACCCGCTTCCCATCCTCCTGCCCTTTTACATGCACTTCCCACTTGTCTCCATAACACTTCATAGTTTTCATCACCTTCTAAAGCACTTTTTAGCCTATTTTTTTTTGTCCTGGTAGTATTTTTTTTTCCTTTTCTTTTCCCCTCTTATCTTTCCTCTTTCTTCTCCCCACTTCCTCCTCTTTCCTCCTCCTCCTTTTTCTTTCTTTCTGTCTGTCTTCTCTCCCTTTTTCTGCTATATCACCACGCCTTGAGAATGTCAAGCTCATAGCAGGTGCTCAATACATATTTCTTTAACAAATTCATAACTTACAAAAAGATCACTGTGGTTGTTGTGTGGAGAATGGATCGTAGGGGAGCAAAAAGGCACACATGGAGACCAATAACAAGGCAATGTCAGTATTCTGGGAAGTGGGCAATGATGGAGAAGTGGCAATGGTGGCGAATAGAAGTAGATGCCTTCAGTATGCAGTTTGGAGATTAAATCAATAGGACATGCTGATCCAACAGACAGGGTGAAAAAATCAGGGGAAAAGGAGAACTCCTCGGATTTGGGCTTAACCAATTCGATTGTTGATGGTGTCATTTACTGCGATGGTGACACCGTGGAGGAGATTTGGGGGATTTGGTTTTGAACAGTTATATTTAGGATGTTAATGAGTAAAACCAGGCAGTTGAATTATAGAAATCTAGAATTCAGAGGCATATTTTTGTGGTCTTTAGAATATAGGTGAGATTTCAAGCCATGAGCATGAATCAAATCATCTAGAGAGAACATATGGAGAAAACAGAAGAGAAAAGAAGAGAGGAGAGAAGGGAAGAGGAAAGGAGAAGAGAGGGGAAAAAAGGGAGGTGAAGGGAAGGAGAAGAAAATAATAAAAGAAGAGAAGAGAGAATAGGAAAAGAGAGAACAGAAGAGAAAGAAGAGGAGAGGAGAGGAATGGAGCACTTAGGGCCAGATTCTGAAAAATGCCCACATTTAAAGACAGGAAGAAGTGGAAAGGAGAAGTGGAGAGAGTATAGTATCTCATAAGGAAGCCAGGAAAGGAAAGTGGGGACGGAGGGAGAGGCCAACGACATTTACTGAGGCTGAGTGTTTGAGTGAGGGACAGAAAATGTGCGTTTTGGCTTTTCCTAAATGGAGATCAACAGCCTTGACTAGAGCAATTTCAAGATGGAGGGTAGAAGCCAGAGGATAACAGGCTTGAAGAGTAAATGGAAGGAGAAAGAGTGGAGTGAGCATGTGCAGATAAGGGTTTCTAGAAGCATAAGAGAGAAAAGGCCTCCTGTACATAGGGCAGTATTGGCTCTGTAGCTGGGCTGAAGAGGGAATTATAGGTGCTACACCTGGGTACAGAGGTCACGAATGACGTGGAGACGTGCTGCCCAGATCTTCCTCCAGGGAAGCACTCGTTGTGCAGCTGTGGGGAATGCAGTCAGCAGACACCCTCTAGCAGTCAGCTCCTTCAGAGTTTGACTCAGCTACAGAGAGCTGCCTTGTCCAAGATCATAGCCTTTCCAGGCCTTCTGTATCTGGTGACCCGGATATTGAAAGAGCCGGCCTCATTGCTGGACACTCTGCCCAAGGAGACTTGCTCCAAAGCTTCCTGCCACGTAGGCTGAGGCTTTGCTGGTCCTCATCTTCCTCTACCCAATTCTGTTGACTCCCCCTTCCCTCATACACATCTTGTTCCCCAAAATAAAAATTCCACCCACAAGAGAAAAGTCCAGATGTGACATCACTATTGCTTATGTAAAAAATGCTTTGGTATGTCCCTTAACACTGAGAAGGTTAGGTAGTCATGCCCACCAGCAAGGCCGAAGCTTTTGGGCTACCAAGAGAGAACCAGAAATAAGGAAGGCCCAAGTCTTCTTTGCTCCTTAATGGTGAGACCATCTGCACCCACAGCAACATGTTCAGTTTGGAAGCCATGTTTGAAGAGACCCACAAACATCATCAATCACTAAGTCCTGAATAGAGAAACTTGGACAACAGTGGGACTACAGTTCCTTTCTCGTTTTTTGTCTAGGCTACAAGTCTCTCCATGTTTTCTACTTTTTGAGAACAATGCAGCTGTTATGCATTGGGCTCTGGCACTGTGCAAGGTGGTGATGAAGTGTGTGGTCTGCATAACGCATACGAAAGCTCTGTGAGAGGGGTGCTGTTAACCCCCTGCCCCACTGCACAGACAGGCCTGAGAGAAGCCAGTGAACTTCCTCAAGGTCATACAACTAGCAAGTGGCAGAGCAGGGATTTGAACCCAAGCCTTTCTGATTCCAAAGTTGTACTCCAGATTCCTGCCTTTTCTCATCATACAAATTGAGTATCCCTTATCCAAAATACTTAGAACCAGCAATGTTATGGATTTCAGAGTTTGGAATATGTGCATATACATAATGAGATACCTTGGGGATGGGACCCAAATTCATTTATGATTCATATACATCTTATATACATAGTCCAAAGTTAATTTTATACAATATTTTAAATAATTTTGTGCATGAGATAAAGTTTGCATACACTGAGCCATTAGAAAGCACATGTGTTGACCAGGTGCAGTGGCTTATGCCTGTAATCCCAGCACTTTGGGAAGCTGAGGCAGGCAGATCATCTGAGGTTGGGAGTTCTAGACCAGCCTGACCAACATGGAGAAACCCCATCTCTACTAAAAATACATAATTGGCTGGGCATGGTGGAGCATGCCTGTAAATCCCACCTACTTGGGAGGCGGAGGCAAGAGAATGGCTTGAGTGTGGGAGGCAGAGGTTGCTGTGAGCTGAGATCATGCTATTGTACTCCATCTTGGGCAACAAGGGCGAAACTGTCAAACAAGCAAGAGAGAGAGACAGAGAGAGAGGGAGGGAGGGAGGGAAGGAAAAGAAAAGAAACCACAGGTGTCACTATCTCAGTACCCATGTGGGCAATATGTGGCTGTTTGCTATTATCATTCCTGACTCTCAATGTAGGTGCTACCGAGAAGCAATCATTTTCCTATATTTATTCACACATAAGTAGGTACACAGTGAAAAGAATGATACAGTATTAATACAATGAAAAAATGTGTTCAGCGTAAATAGGCAGCACAGCAGCATCACTGGAATACCCGTACCAGCTGTCAGGCAACAGCAACAACCAACAGGCTTTCAGCCACGATGCTGTTTTGATTAAAAGGCTACTGTATGCTGAATTTTTTTTTTTTTTTTTTTTTTTAGGTGAGGAGAACCATCCAAAGCAGTGGGGGACCAGGAGGTGGGTCCCCTAGGATGAGGAGGCATTCTGAATAAACTCTGTGCTGTGTACCTGCATTTTGGCTGTGAGCTGCCACATGAGGTCAGGTGTAGAATTTTTCACTTGAGGTGCCATGTTAATGTTCCGAAAGTTCTGGATTTTGGAGCATTTCAGACTTTGGATGTTGAGATTAGGGGTGCTCAACCTGTTCTAAGCAGACGGATGGCTACAGTAAGGCTGTTCCGAAGCTTGGCAATGTCTTCACCTTTTAAGAGGAAGAATCCTAATGGGTGAGGGTAACTCATCCAAGTCCCGGAAACACAGAGCTGAAGAGGCTCAGGAAGTCTCTAAGTCCATCCGCTGAAGGTGCTGAGACAGCACCACTGGGACTGGGATGAAATGGTAGCTGGCACTAACTAAGGAGCAACCTTTACAGTGGAAGATGTGACCACAGGAGAATGGCCTGTCGGGGTCCAGGAAAAGGGACTCCCCAAAGCAAGAACTCAGGTCTGTCCCAGCACTGCCCTTGCAGGTCTGTGTGAGAGCAAACCTTTAGCCGGGGTCACAGGTAACTAAGCCCTGTGCAGATACACCCGGGAACCTCTGTTTTAAAAATGACCCATTTGTGTGTGTGGGTGGGTTTCTCCACGTCGGTCAGGCTGGTCTTGAACTCCCAGCCTCAGGTGATCTACCTACCTCGACCACTCAAAGTGCTGGGATTACAGGCGTGAGCCACTGTGCTCGGTCCCATTTCCTTTTTCTTCCTTCCCTCCCCTCTTACCTCTTCATTCCTTCCCTCCCTAGACACCCCCTCATCAGTGCTAGCTTAGCTAATTATGCCCTTACTTGAGAAATCCCAGCGGCTAATCTTGAAACAATCCAGGCATAGTGCCCCACTCCTCCCACTTAGGGGGAGTCATGAACAATTGGGTCAAAATCAAGATAATACCAACCAGACTCCCGATGAGCAATTAGCGAAGGTAGCCATCAGAACAAGACACGCGAGCCCAGTACCCTGTACCACTCCCGCATGTCCCCCATACTAGGTTTCCCTTTAAAACTCTATAGTACATTATAAAATGTGAGCGAATACTTTAGAATGCTAGCTTGCCATCTTCTGGGTTTGCCGGCTTTGCCTTTCCTCCTAGCAACCCTTGCCTCTGGCTTTGCAGCAGCAAGTGGCTGAACCTGGGTCCAGTTACACAGCCGTGTTCTTGGTGTGCAAAAGAGGCACCAGGCTCTTGATACCAGCCCCAGCTCCGAATCAGTGCTTCTGGTGCTATAGTTCATCTTTTCTACACTGTCCTATGCACAGAGCCAGGCTGGTGAGGCTGTGGGAGCGTCCCGGGATCCTCAACAGTCCCGTTTCTCCTGGTAAAGAAGGACTGCCATCTTTGTGCAAAGCGCCTCTGCCATCTCTCATCCTCCCTCCCCTTCTAAGCGAGAAAACCTGGCTGAAGAGCAGAAGCCTGCTTTCCAGAGCAGCCATGCCTACAGCCCTCACACCTCTGCCCCTCCCTAACTAGCCTGGACACCTGGGGTGGAGGTGGTGGGGAGATGGGGGGAGTATCAAAATAGAGTTTTTGTCTCTGCAAAGCCAAGGACTGGGGTTGGCCCAGGCACTTTCCTCTGATGAGGCCCAGCTATTAGCAGATTGTTGATCCTTTTTATTCTAAATGTAAGATTTCAATTCTACATATGCACAAGAATGTAATTTGCTTCATTGATGTTTTCAAACATGACATAAAATTGCTCAAAGTATGCCTTTATATTTTTATACCTTACTTATAATTTTGTTTCTTTTTAACTCACCCAGCCCCCACTTCCCGTTAGATTCACCAGAGGTTTTCATGGTCTTTTCAAAGAACAGACACGCTCACGGCTCAATACAGGCAAAACCAGGCCACAGCTCACCCTGCCAGGAGAATCCACACCTACAGAGGGGATGCCGCCCTCCAGCAGCCCTAAAAGAAATTTCTTTCAAGAAACTTGGCTTCATACCCGTGCCAAAGCACTATGAAGAGAGGTCCTCTTTCGTTCCGTTCAGTGCAGCAGTTGAAAAAGGAAAGGGAGGTATGTTTTTATGGAAACCTCAAACGCCCCTCCACATCTCCTGTGAATTACCTCTGTGTTCAGGCAGCCGAGCTAGACAGCTGCGAGGAGAGGCATGTGTTTTTGATGGGGGCCTTGGAAAGAAAAGGCCCCTTGTACCCTGGCCAAGGCATGTAGGTGGTGTGACCTGGGAGGACAGCAGGGCCAGGAGCTCCCCAGCTGTGGCGGAAGCCAGGCTCCCAGGGGCAATGTTCCAGTGAGCCAGAGGGGGAACCAGAGAGCTGGGAGGCCCCACCTGGTCCAGAGGGAAACAGGCAGCACCTGCCCTAGGCAGTGAGCAAGGGTCAGGGAATATGGGGGAATTCCCGACAGGGGCAAGGCCCCTGCCCTCCCTTTCCTTTTTCCTTTTTTCCCTCTTCTCTTCTCTTCTCCTCTTCCTCCTCCTCTCCATCTCCCTTCTCTTTCTCTCTTTCTGTCTTCCTTCCTTCCCTCTCTCACTCTCTTTCTTTCTTCCTTTCTCTTTCTTTCTCCTTCCCTCCCTCCCTCCCTCCCTCCCTTCCTTCCTTGCTTCCTGTGTTGTCTCTCTCTGTTTCCACTAATAACAGAGAGGAATGTTTTCCTTTTTTTTTTTTTTTGACACTGGGTCTCACTCTGTTTCCCAGCCCAGAGTGCAGTGGTTTGATCATGGCTCACTGCAGCCTCAACCTCCCAAGCTTAACTGATCCTCCTGTCTCAGCCTCCTGAATAGCTGGGACCACAAATGCATGCCACCACATCCAGCTAATTTTTTAAAATTCTTTGTGGAGGTGAGGTCTCCCTATGTTGCTCAGGCTGGTCTTGAACTCCTGGGCTCTAGTGATCTTCCTGCCTCAGCCTCCCAAAGTGCTGGGACTACAGGCTACAGGCATGAGCCACTGCACCTGGCCCCAGGTTATTCTTATGCACAGCAGGGTTGATGCAATGTACAATGTTTTTCAACTGTGACTGACCAAGAACAGAGCAAACCAGACTATGAGATAGTCTTCATGTATATCTCCCCACCATGTATATAAACCTAAAACAAAAATTACATGAAACTACACTTCTGTGTGTGAGACACTTTGATATATTCTACTCTCTTGTGTTCTGTTCTGAAAAGAATATTGGCTGTGGCTCACTGAAGTGATTCCCTGTCATATTCACAGATTGTGTCCCGCAGTTTGAAAAACACTGACATAGTAAACCTCAACAAATGTTTGGTGAGTAAATGAATGATGGAACAAATACCTGAATATTTCTGTCTCAACATCAGCAAAACAGAGGGGCCGCACAGATAATTTCATAGATCTCTTCATTATAAATACTGAGGTCTTCCTCTTTCTTTCTTTCTTATTTTTTTTCTTTCTCTCTTTTCCTTCCTTTCTTTTTTCTTTTTTTTTTAATTGCATTTTAGGTTTTGGGGTACATGTGCAGAACATGCAAGACATTTGCATAGGTACACACATGGCAGTGTGTTTTGCTGCCTTCCTCCCCTTCACCCACATTTGGCATTTCTCCCCAGGCTATCCCTCCCCAGCTCCCCCCACCACTGGCCCTCCCCTTTTCCCCCCAATAGACCCCAGTGTTTGGCACTCTCTTCCCTGTGTCCATTAAAGAAAAAATATATAAATACTAAGGTCGATGCCTTTGTTTTAAAATTTCCAACAGCTTCACCATGCCCCTGAGCTCTGGTAGGCCTCAGTTAAAGGGATTCCCATTGTTACAAGTGATCAGAGGGTTCTTTTTCAATATGTTTATTAACTAATGATAAGCACTGCCTTCCCTTCTAACCTCCCCAGACCTTCCATCCCTGAGCCCAGAAGGCCCAGAAAAGTCAGAAGGTAAACCTAAAGTACAGAAGATTCCCAAAAGACTCATTTATGGTATTCTTCCTTGATTTTCTACAAGTTCCCAAGGCTGAGGTGGAATGTGGAGGAGTGAGGGCCTGAAGTCTCTGTGGCCCTGAAAGGTATGCTAATCAGTGTGGGCCAAGGAAATATGCTGCTATTCCAGTGAGAATATGAATCTTCAGCGTCTCGTACCCTGAGGGCTCTATGAACCCCATCCACTGCTTGTGGCTTATCCTCCCTTAGCCCAGGCCAGGGACTTCTGGGGTCATCCAGCAGGGCCACTACAATACAATGTGGATCTTGAGAAGCCTGGAAAGGGCTGGTCTTCTGGTGAGCTCTGGAAGTGGCTCCAGTAGGACCTGGTTACAGCTCATCCACAGGTATGGCCTTCAGAAAGCTTGAGGAAAAGGCTCTAGTGGAGAACAGAGGTGGGTTCTCTGCTGTTCAGGAGGTAAAGGTGACTCCCCACCTCATATGATATTGTTAGCTAATACTGATTGGGGACTTGTCCATCCCTTGTACTCTGCAAAGCACATCATCTCATTTAAATCCCACAACAACTCTATAAGCTAGATATTGAATATTATTAGAAATAATTTACAGGTAAAGAAACAGGAGCATAGAAAGGTTAAGCAACTAGCTCACAGTCATGCAGGGTGGTAGAAACAGGATTTACCCACATAGCTTGATGCCAGAGCCTTCATGCCACATCGCTACACTGTGCAGCCTTCACCGGGGCAGGTGGTGTTGAGTTAGTGAAGAGAGGGCATTGTACCTGGCACTGTTCTGCAGGAGGTGCCAGGAAGTACTGACATGTGATGTCATTGCCATATGTGATCCCATCCAGAGAGCACGAACCTTCCACCCTGTCATCGATTGCCACATGTGCCAAGTGTTACATCCAATGAAGGCCCAGGTTTATGACATCACTGCTCTAGGAACATAATTGGCCTCAAAAAAGGCTGCTTGGTCAGTCTCTGTAGGAGTGTTTGGTGCTGGGGAACCAGAATCAGAGAATGTCACCTTTCTGGAAGCAGGCTAATTGAGGGCTAGCATTATGGAAGAAGAGGGATGGAGTAAAGCTATCAGCAAGCTCACAATAGCTCTAGGATAAAAATAATAAGGGTTATATTTTATTGAAAAACCACTATACAGCTAACAGTAGAACAAATACATTCAAAATTGTGGTTTCAGGGCCAGGCGCGGTGGCTCACGCCTATAATCCCAGCACTTTGGGAGGCCGAGGCGGTTGGAACACGAGGTCAAGAGATCGAGACCATCCTGGTCAACATGGTGAAACCCCGTCTCTACTAAAAATACAAAAAATTAGCTGGGCACGGTGGTGCACGCCTGTAGTCCCAGCTACTCGGGAGGCTGAGGCAGGAGAATTGCTTGAACCCAGGAGGCGGAGGTTGCAGTGAGCCGAGATCGCGCCATTGCACTCCAGCCTGGGTAACAAGAACGAAACTCCGTCTCAAAAAAAAAAGGGGGGTTTCAGGTCATTTCACAACCCTGTCATGAAGTTATTCTTATTTCCATTTTGTGGATGGAGAGCATGAGACTCAAAGAAGTTAAGTAAATGGACCAAGGGCATTGAAACAGACAGAGTGGGATTTAAAGGCAGGCCTTTCAGACTCAAGATTGTGTCCTGAGTTCCTGTCCAGTTCTGCTTTCTGCATGTGTCTTCATACTCAACAAAGTTTGATGCCTGTGAGTAAAACAATATTTAAAGTCTCCACCATGTACTGGCCACTTACGTGGCTCTATCACTCTTCCTCAAGGAAGAAAGGCTGGGGCAGGAAGAAGATTAGATGGTACTTCACCAACCATTCACGCCGTTTGGAAGCAGCTGAGGCAGAGTGCTCTGATGACAGCTGGCAGCAGAGCGTGGGGAAGAACACAGGCCATGGCACTTCAAAACAGCTTCTTACGATGGCTTGGGGGACGTTTCAAGGTAGGTGATTCAGGGAGATTACGGGCGTATGTACACCTTGTCTCTTGGTGTAGCCACCAGGCCACTCCTGATCCCATTCACCACTAGGTGGCCTATCCCATCGAGACACCATACCAGTAAGATGGTAACACCAGTGTGTCTTGAAAACCAAGGAATCATGTGGGCAATTTAACATGTAAGTCCCAAGATATATGGTAATTACTGAATTGTTACAGTTTCTAGAAATAAAGCATGTTGGAAAACAGGCTGTCCAGGCTGGATAAGGAAGAGGGGATAAGACTGTGCAGGCATTTAGTGGGAATGATCTCTCTGGGCAGCAAGGCTGAGGGAGAAGAATGCCCTCTGGGAGAATGACTACAGTGATCACAGATATGCAGGTCCATAGCCTTGGGAAGGGGGGCCCAAGTGTTTCCAGAAGGAAATAAGGGTGGAGTCAAGCAAAGGCCAAGCATGCAGGCTGTGAGGGACAGTGTTTGGGAATCTAGTGTGATAGTGGTTAAGACTGCAGACTCTGATACCTTGGTTCAAATTGCAACTCCACTACGTAGGAACGTGGCTGTGGCCTTTAAGACGCCTATGGCTCTGTATCCTCCATCTCTAAATGGGGATCACACTGGTAGCTGCTTCATTGGGATGTGATGAAGATTAACTGGGGCATTGCATGTGTCATGCTAGCATAGTGGTGGCACTAGTAACTGCTCGAGAAATGTACCATTGCTGTGAGGCTGGGAATGGGAGGGACACACACGCGCATGTACACACACACACATACACACTCATCCCAGCTTCAACTTTCACCTCCATAGGCTCCTTCACCAGTCAGTGAGGAGTTAGGTTCCTTCTTGCCAAAGATATCTGAAGCTCAACGCCTGTTCTATATGGACACTTGGGGTATTTTGAGCAGCCATGTTGGAACGCGGGGTGGTGGCAGCACTAACTCATAACTTGGCTATGGGAGCTATTTTAAGGATTCACCCTCTCTCCCCATCCCATGCCCTCCCCCAGTGCCAATGGTTCTCAACATTTTTTTGGATATGGCCCCCTCAGGAAATGGATGGCTGCTAAGGATCCTCTTGAGAACAGTACATGTCCAAGTTCTGCACTTTATTTCAGAGGCTCCATGGACATCAGGATTTGAACCCTATTCCATATATACAAACTCAAAGAACTAGAGGTATGTCTTTGCTGCCTGCCTCTTTCCTCTGAAACCATGCCTTAAAAATACCAAGGGGATAGAGAAACCTGCTTCTCTGGATCACACTCTGAAAAGTGCTGTTCAGAAGAGACACAGCTTGAACAGGGCCACAGGATATAAAAGAAGCCCTGGAACCATGTCTTCTCTAAAAACAACAAAATCGTCAATAATGAATGGAAGAATCAATATTGTGAAAATGGCCATACTGCCCAAAGCAATTTATAGATTCAATGCTCTTCCCATTAAACCATCAACATTCTTCACAGAATTAGAAAGAAACTATTTTAAAATTCATATCGAACCAAAAAAGAGCTTGTATATCCAAGAAAATCCTAAGCAAAAATAATAAAGCTGGAGGCATCACACTACCCAACTTCAAACTATACTATAAGGCTACAGTAACCAAAACAGCATGGTACTGGTACAAAAACAGGCACATAGACCAATGGAACAGAATAGAGAAGTTAGAAATAAAACCACACATCTACAACCATCTGATCTTCCAAAAACCTGACAAAAACAATGAAGAAAGGATTCCCTATTTAATAAATGGTGCTAGGAGAACTGGCTAGCCATATGCAGAAAATTGAAACTGGACCCCTTTCTTATACCTTTCACAAAAATTAATGCTAGGTGGATTAATGACTTAAATGTAAGACTCAAAACTATAAAAACCCTAGAAGAAAATCTAGGCAATACCATTCAGGACATAGGCATAGGCAAAGATTTTATAATGAAATCACCAAAAGCAATTTCAACAAAAGCAAAAATTGACAAATGGGATCAAATTAAAGAGCTTCTGCATAGCAAAAGACTCTATCATCAGAGTAAACAGACAACTTATAGAATGGGAGACCTTTTTTTCAATCTATCCATCTGACAAAGGTCTAATATCCAGAATCTACAAGAACTTAAGCAAATTTACAAAATACAAACAATCCCATTAAAAAGTGGGCAAAGAACATGAACAGACACTTCTCAAAAGAGGACATACATGCAGCCAACAGACATGAAAAATGTTCAACATTACTGAGCATTAGAGAAATGCAAATCAAAACCACAATGAGATGCCATCTCATGCCAGTCAGAATGGCGATGATCAAAAAGTCAAGAAACACGAGATGCTGGCAAGGTTGTGAAGAAATAGGAATGTTTTTACCCTGTTGGTAGGAATGTAAATCAGTCCAACCATTGTGGAAGTGATTCCTCAAAGATTTAGAAAGAGAAATACCATTTGATCCAGCAATCCCATTACTGGGTATATACCCAAAGGAATGTAAATCATTCTGTTATAAAGATATATGTATGCACATGTTCAATGCAGCATTATTCACAATAGCAGACTTGGAATAAACCCAAATGCCCATTAATGATAGACCGGATAAAGAAAATGTGGTACATATTCACCATGGAATACCATGCAGCCATAAAAGGGAACAAGATCATATCCTTTGCAGGGCCTGGGATGCAGCTGGAGGCCATTAGCCTCAGCAAACTGGTACAGGAACAGAAAACCAAGCACTGTGTCTTCTCACTTATAAGTGGGAGCTGAGCAATGAGAACACATGGACACAGAGAGGGGAGCAACACATACTGGGGCAGTCGGGGTAGTATGGTTTGGAGAGAGCATCAGGAAAAATAGCTAATGCATGTGGGCTTAATATCTAGGTGAAGGAAGGAAGGGTTGATAGGTGCAGCAAGGCACCGTGTCCCATGTTTACCTGTGTAACAAACTTGCACATCCTGCACATGTACCCCAGAACTTAAAAAACATCATCAACAGTAACAGTAGCTAACTTTTCTGGGTATTTGCTATGTTCCAAAAACTAAGCTAAGTTCCTTACATGCATTACCTCATTTAAACCTCCCCAAACTTCCACAATGACAATAATATCCTGGTCCCTGTTTTGCGGATGAGACACTAAGGCACATAGAGGTTAAATAATTTGCCCAAGATCACACAGCTAATGAGTAGTAAGATTCAATCCCAGACCCAGATCCTGCTGTCAAGCAGTATAGTTTGTGACCACCTAGTGACATCACAGGAACCACACTTCCATCTCTTATTTTAATGTCCTGAATGTTCTTCCTTATAAATGCACATCAGACTTGAGTGGGTAAAAATTCTGAACATACTGAGTCTTCTACCCCGAGCCAATCCTCTTCAACATGAACCTGCATGGGAACCAGTGCTGAAAGTGGAAAGAGACCACAGACAGGCCTGGCATCTGTATGCATAAGGCAGAAAACTGTCTCCCTGCACCCCTACTCCCAGTTAAAAGGCTGTGGGCATCTTTGAGCCAATGACAGGCTGCTGCAAAGGATTCTGGGAATCCCAACCCCTCACAGTTCTGCAAAAACTGAGCTTTGCTCAACTTACAGTCCTGCAAAAGGTGGATACTAAGATAGGGAGATGGGCATACAGGCCAAATACTCTGTTCTGCCTTCCAGGAAGGAAAAACCATACTGTCCAGGAAGCTCACAAGTGACATGTGGCCCATGGGTATACCAGGGCTAAAGTGAAGGATGGACTGCTCTGTGGAAGGAAGGAGTGAAAGTGCACAGGGAGGCATAGGGCCATCTGCAGGAAGAGTTAGAGGAGGGAAGGAGGGAGACTGGCTTTGGCAGAGAAGGGAGGCGGGAGCAGAGGGAGCTGGAGGATTGATTCAGGCAGTGAGAGAGGGCAGCCCCACTCTATTTCCCAAGCTGCTCTCTGGATGCAGGCAGGAAGGTTGAGTGTATTACACTGGCCCCACCTCCAGAGGCTCTCTCTGCAGCTGCTGGACTGGACACAAAGCGTGAGAGACAGAGACACCATCTCTGCTGATTTGTACTCAACTCTGGTTCCTGTTGCTGAGAGCCCACGTGTCACAGAAGCCAGGGCAGGGGGGCCCACACTGCTGTCTGCATTTCCCAGGTAAGCAACTGTGTGTGTGTCAGCCAGCAGTGGAGAGCAAGGCCTGAGAGCCGTGAGCAGAGGAGAAAGTAGGAGGTGGCTGCTTGGGATGGACTGTAGTACAATGTGGAAGGAAAGAAGAGGGGTGTGGGCTGGGGTTGCAACAAGCCCTCAGGGTAGACTTCTGCAGAGTGTTGATGGATGTATGAGGTCGGGGAGTTGGAGGCTGCATTTGGTCCATTCCTGCCTGGCAAGTGCAGAGAAAGTTCCAGCAAAGGACTGTGCTCTGACAGCCTCCAGGCGCCAGCACATCTGGAGAGCAGAGAGGCTAGCTATACCATGGCACCAGTGTTCCTCTTCCAGGCCAGGTACAGTTATGCAGACTTCGCCAGAAAATCCCTCCCTGTGCCTCTGCCTGCCTCCAGGTCTTCTTGGTGGCCCAGAGCACGCCTGAGGCAGCGACAGGAGAAAGAAAGCAGGACACATTCACTGGGGACATGGCTTCAGATGAAGGAGGGATTCCTCATCTGAAAAGAAAGTCTCCTGACAGGCTCTGGAGAAGGGATTGGTTAGCTAGAGGAGGGCTGTGTGCCACGCTAAGGAGGCTCCTCTGTGGCCTAGAGGAAGACAATGAGACACAGGCTGTGGAAAATGGGGTATTTGTACTGGAGGTGGGGTGGGGAATGGGTAAAGTCAGTGATCTGTGAACAGTGCCACAGAAACAGGCAGTACATTGGCATAGAGAAAGAAGGAGACCTAAGACATGCATTTCATACAAACCTAGCATCCCTTTGCTGTCCCTGATGGGTACCCACATCCCCGGATCAAGCCTGCTGCTCTGCTAAGTTCTATGAAGTTGGCTAGTGGTGTGTCCCCTCTGTGAAACTACACATTCATTCCCTAAGATCCACTGTGCTGAGCACATGTCTGACCTGGGCTCCTGTCAAAAGGCATGCCGGCTACCTTCTGCCATGTGATGGGTGAGGGAGCAGTGAGGGAAGAGAAGTGGTCTCTGGGCTTGGGGCACAAGGGACATGAGATGCTGATCTCCAGTCACAACTGCAATGTGTCCTCCCTCCATCCATGTCTTCTGTATCCAGAGTGGAAAGTGAGGATTCCTCCCTCCTGCTTCCCCTCCATACACACAGGGTAACTGGGCTCATGATCAGGCAGACATTGGGGAAGAACAGTTGGATCAGATAGGGATAGGGTAACTGGACCAGCCAAGTACAAAGATCACTCCTTTTATCCCTTCTGAGATGGCAGTGAAAGGTGAGCAGAGGTAGAGAGAAGGAGCTTTCAGAAGGTAAATACTCAGTGATTAATACTCTTGAGCACCCCAGGCAGTAGCCTCTGCAACATGGGTCGTGGCTCTGATGGGCAGCCACTGGCCTCTCTCTTTGGTGGAGGGCAATCTGGGTCAATGAGAGCAGGGAGGAGTCCAGCAGTGAGGCCCTGTAGCCAAAGTTACTTGGCCTGGAAAACACAAGGGGCTTTGATACCTGTAGAAAGCCACGGCTCTTCACCCCAGGATGCTGCCGCTGATCTTGGGCAGAGCCCAGCCCCAGAGCAGGCCTCGGTCTGGAGGCTACAGCTGAAAGGCAGGACAATTTGGGGCTTAACATAATGGCCTTGAAATTAGAGAGAAACCCCACTGCTGCTGTCTATGAGCTGCATGGCCTTGGGCAGGTAAGTAACTTCAGAAAAGTTCAGTTTCCTGGTCTGTTAAAATTGAAAGAATAATATAATAATAGCAACTATCTTAAGGTTTGCTGAGAGGAATAAATGAAATCATGTTTGTGAACCATTCAACATAGTACCTGGATCATAACCTGTGTCCAGAAAAATGCGAGTTTTAATACCCCCTCTGGGATTCTCAGATGTTTCTCTCCAGACTAAAGCCCCTGGAGAGACCCTCAGTATCCTGCCTCTCTACTGCTCCTTTAAAATGTGTCACTCACCCAATCCTTGTTAACCAATCCTCCAGCAGGCTTTCTCTGTCTTCAAGCTAAAAAAAAAAATAAGTTTGAAAATAAGACCCAAATGGCTTCCATGTCTCATGTGTTATGGTTGAAATCCAACATCCATGCTTCTTGAGTCAGGAATGTGTACTCCAGTGGGCATGTGTGCCCTGGGATCAATATGGCACACTTGGGGGAAGATTAAACATTTAAACCCAAGGTAACTTGAAAAACACTATTTTCTATAAAACAAACACAACATAAAATGTAAACTCTCCTGAATGTTTGTGATGAAGCAAAATTTCAAAGACAGGTCAAGCTCTCGGTGGGCATCCTCTGCCCCGTGGGTGCTTTTGGGTAGCCTCCCTGGCAGTTAGAAGTGCCTCAGAAGTTTCAAGGGCCTGAGAAGGCTTGCTTAAGCAGTGAGGGACAGCTGGTGTCTTCTTGGGAACATTCCTGGTGCCTTCCTGACTCACCCTCATTCTCTTTGTCTTTGGAAGAGGTGGCTCAGGGTCTGAGAGGTATATCTAGCTGACACCATCATGGGATGGCAGACTTGCACTCCTGGCAGGGACAGCAAGAGCCAGCCTGGTTTCCAGCTTCCCCAGTTGGAGACACTGTAAGAGTGCCTTAGGAGGACCAGAGCTTGCTTCCTACCATGTCATCGAGTTGTCCCCCATGCTGACAAAGGACACATTTGGTTAGCAGTTGAGGGTTGAGCACTGGTATCTGTAGGCATAAGGCAGAAAACTGTGTCCCTGCACCCCTACTCCCAGTTAAAAGGCTGTGGGTATCTTTGAGCCAATGACTGGGCTGCTGCAAAGAATTCTGGGAATCCCAACCCCTCCCAGTCTGCAAAAACAGCTTTGCTCAACTCAGTCCTGCAAAAGGTGGATACTAGAATAGGGAGGAGGGCATATAGGCCAAATACTTAGTTCTGCCTTCCAGGAGGGACAGGGCACAGCTGGCACCCAGTAATGTCCCACTCTGGCTATTCCTGACAGCATGGTCTCCTGGGGCTTCTTCTAGCAAGTGGGATCTCCAGAGGGAATAAGGATGATTGGGATTTTCAGCAGAGCCAGGTCTCTGTCCTCAGTGAGACTCAAAAATATGCTTCCCATGGAAGCCAGTTGGAGACAGAGCAGTAGTGAGACCTCAGTCCCTCTGGGTATGAAAGTGATTAAGAACATTCTTTGTGATTTTTCTCTTCACACTTTTCTTCTTGCAGGTATCCTGAGCTGAGCAAAGGTTCTCCCTCAGAGGAGCAGGCAAAAGAAGCACCTGAACATCATGGCACAAGTGGACTCCCAGGACAGGTGGGAAGAGGCGTCTCCTCTCAGCAGCTTGACTGAGAAGGCTCATGACCCCCAGATGCTGAGCATGAACTTAGAGAGTGAGGATGAAGGTGGTGGGGAGTCAGAAAAAGAGGGCACTGCTGACATGGTGGCCTGTCTAAGGGGCAGCTCCCAAGTAACATGTGACAATCCTGACTTGCCATGGCCCCATCCGCTAGGCAAAGAGGAGGAGAAAGTCTCTGACTCCTCCAGTGCTAGGGGCATGGGGCAGAAACCAATGCAGATGTCCGGGAGAGCCAGCTGGAGCAGAGATGTGCCAAAGATTAATGAGACCCAGGGCTCCCCGGGAGCAAGCACAGTTCTGGGTACCCTTCGCAGTGGTCTCACACACAAGCTGTTAGGTCAGTTGCAACCTCTTAGGGAGGGATTATCTGCGGGTGATGATGGAGACTTGAGGGCAAACCAGGACGCAGCCTTGGATGTCCCATCCAGCTTCCCCAGCAATGGAAAGTATCTCTGTGCACACAAAAGCGTAGACACGTCCGCAGAGAACTCTTCTCTCTTGTGTTTCCCCAGGCCAGGGAGCAACTGGGACCTCCCCACGCGAGAGACACACACACCAGCCCAGGCGTCGGCCACCCCAGCCAGCCTGGCAGCCGCGGTGCTAGCAAAAGGGCGAATCAGCAGGAAAGGACAGAACCAGGTGGGCAGGCGCGGGGACCCAGAGGCTGAGGCGCATCCCTACAGGCGCCTGCGGGGCGGGAGGGCGTTCCAGGAACCCAGCAAGCCGCTGAGCCCCGTGGAGACGCGCGGTGACACCAAGCCCTACGCGTGCGAGCTGTGCGGGAAGGCCTACTCCCACCGCGGCACGCTCCAGCAGCACCGGCGCCTGCACACGGGCGAGCGGCCCTACCGGTGCTCCTTCTGCGACAAGGCCTACACCTGGTCCTCCGACCATCGGAAGCACATCCGCACCCACACGGGCGAGAAACCCTACCCGTGTCCAGACTGCGGGAAGGCCTTCGTGCGCTCCTCGGACCTGCGCAAACACCAGCGCAACATGCACAGCAACGACAAGCCCTTCCCGTGCTCCGAGTGCGGCCTGACCTTCAACAAGCCGCTGTCGCTGCTGCGCCACCAGCGCACGCACCTGGGCGCCAAGCCCTTCCGCTGCGTCGCCTGCGACCGCGAGTTCGCTGTGGCCAGCCGCATGGTGGAGCACCAGCGCGTGCACTCGGGCGAGCGGCCCTTCCCCTGCCCCACCTGCGGCAAGTGCTTCACCAAGTCCTCCAACCTGGCCGAGCACCAGACGCTGCACACGGGCCAGAGGCCCTTCAAGTGCGCTGACTGCGGCGTGGCCTTCGCGCAGCCCTCGCGCCTCGTGCGCCACCAGCGCATCCACACCGGCGAGAGGCCCTTTGCTTGCACGCAATGTGGCCAGGCCTTTGCCCGCTCCTCCACCCTGAAGCGACACCAACAGATCCACTCCGGGGAGAAGGGATTCCTCTGTGCCGAGTGCGGCAGGGCCTTCCGCATTGCCTCTGAGTTGGCCCAGCACATTCGGATGCACAACGGAGAGAGGCCCTACCAGTGTGAGGACTGCGGCCAGGCCTTCACCAGGTCCAATCACCTCCAACGGCACCAAGCCAAGCATGGCACCTGCAAGAAGGAGCCCATCCCTTCCTCCTCTGACGAGTGAAGACAGCACCGTCGACCTCACCACTTGGAACCTTCCCAGGTGAACCCACTCACATGACATTGCCAGCCAGCTGCACCGGTCAGCCAGGCATCCCAGTAGGTCGCCAGTCTTGAGCGGTCCATTTGATTATGTATTTGATCCTTTGAGTAGAAAGTCACCACCGAGAGAGTGGTGTGGTTTCACATCAGTGGTTCTGAGTGTCAGAGGTCATTAGCAATTGGAAAAGGGAAGGACAAAGTAGTGGGAACTGATCAAGGTTTGGTTTCTTGGGTTGGGGGACCACAATTAATCAAAAACTACTTCTAGAATTACATGCCGGTGGCTCACGCCTGTAATCCCAGCATTTTGGGAGGCCAAGGCGGGTGGATCACTAGGTCAAGAGATCGAGACCATTCTGGTCAACATGGTGAAACCCCGTCTCTACTAAAAATACAATCCCAGCTACTCAGGAGGCTGAGGCAGGAGAATTGCCTGAACCCAGGAGGTGGCGGTTGCGGGAGCCGAGACCGCGCCATTGCACTCCAGCCCGGGTAACAAGAGCCAAACTCCGTCTCAAAAAAAAAAAAAAAAAGAATTACATGCTTGGGACTGTGCAGGGCTCTGGGCATAAGGTGAGGAAAGACTAACCCATCCTACCCTCAAGGCCGGTTTGCAAATACTGAGAAGGCATGAGGGGCTGGTAATCTTTAGAGAAAGGTTTTGGTTTTCACGTAAATAAAGGAATCCCCAGAAGTGGTCCCTACGATGAACTCCCCAAAAGCAACAAAGCCTTTGTGGGAGGGACTCAAGCCCAGCCCAACATCCCATCATTTCACTTGACTGCAGAAATGGCTTCACCTTAGGGTACATCTTCATGGGCCTTGGCTTTGAAGTGGACAAGACCTTCATGTTAGAGAAGGTAGTTTATGTCCTATTCCAGTTATTCTAGAAGTTCAGTACAGCGTTAGCATCTGAAAAAGAAGTCCATTCCTCTTTATAGTGGAATTTAGTAAGTAGATTGAACCTGAATCTTATCCACAAAATTCATACGTGCCTTCTCTCTGGCTGTCTCTTTTCCTGTTTGCACTCTGAGGGCTTAAGTTATATGTGATATTTACAAAGTAATTTGTTCATTTACAGAGAGATATACAGAATTTCTCCACAAAGCCTTGACCGTGGTTCATGAAACCTTTTGATTCATTTAAATTTGTCTGAATTATTAGCCTTGATTTAAAGTAAATAAAGCACCGTTTGCCCAAGTGCCATTGGCTTGTCCATGTTTTAGAATTTTAAAACCAGGTATGAAGGCCTACATGACTCACAGTTATCCGATGAAGTTATTTCAAAGTTTGCATTACTAACAACCATTCTTCAAAGTGTATTGATGCATATAGTGATCTGTATAAAGTCAGTAGTTCTTAGCACTGAACCTCGACTATGAGGAACTATGACCTGCACAGAGGTCCTTGGTGCACACAGGCAAATGGCATTTCTCCTCTTACCAAAGTTACATAATATATTCCACAAGAAAATATCGTCTCCCTTTTGCGGGGAGTATATTCCTAAAATTGCCACCAAAGAATGCCAGATCCGAATTTCTCTTGGGTTCTACCTGATTTGGACCTAGGGTGTGACCTCTAAATAGCATTCTCATGACATATGGGGGCACCAAAGAGAAGTAAGACAGACAGATAGATAGATAGATATTCTTGTGCCTTGTTTGATCAAGGTAACCTTAATAAAAGGGTTCACCCCATCCTTTACTGTTGATGTGAGCGTGGGCTTCAGCTTCTGCATCTGCACGGGCAAAATAGAAGTGTAATAGTAGGTAAAATTTAGAGTGATCTTACTATATGACAGAAACATTGGCTCAATGCAAGAGCTGTAAATGGGTAGAAAAGTCAAAAGATGAACTTGTGACTATGAAGAGAGCAAAAGCTAACATTTTTTTCTAGGTAATCAATAAAATATTTGAGGACCGAAGGATCATTCCTTTTCATTGTATCCTTTCTTGAAGATGGTCATTAGTATAGTTTTTACAAATTAAAAAATTTGGTTTTGTTTTGTAATTTTTATTTTTATTTTTTTGAGACGGAGTTTCACTCTTGTTACCCAGGCTGGAGTGCAATGGCGCGATCTTGGCTCACTGCAACCTCCACCTCCTGGGTTCAGGCAATTCTCCTGCCTCAGCCTCCCGAGCAGCTGGGATTACAGGCACGTGCCACCATGCCAAGCTGATTTTTTGTATTTATAGTAGAGACAGGGTTTCACCATGTTGACCAGGATGGTCTCGATCTCTTGACCTCGTGATCCACCTACCTCAGACTCCCAAAGTGCTGGGATTACAGGCTTGAGCCACCGTGCCCGGCCTTGTTTTGTAATTTTTAAGGAGTCATTCCCCAAAGCCTGGTTGCATAGGAATCACCTGGGCTGTTTGTTAACCATATAACTTGCTGAACCCTAACCTTGACTGTTGACAAAGCCTGCAGTGTGGTATCTACGTACGGCTTCCACATGGGCATAGCTTTGGAGAAGTGAATGTACGTGTTAACAGGTAGAAAAGCTGGGTTTGCTTGTGCTGGGTAACTTTGGTGCTGTATACTATGTTTCTGGAATATAAGGGGTAGAATGTACTGAATAGGTCAAAGAGAAGTTGATAATCCTTCAGGCCTATCACAAAACAAGTCAGATTTTAAGGAAAATTGTCCCAACCAGTCTTTTCTCACACCAACTGCAAGGGTCATGCTGAGTAGGTATTGGAGGAGAAAGAAATCCCATTGGAACCAGTAGTCACAGATCACTGGACCAGACAGTGGTACACAAGTGGAAAGCAACAGTACATCGAGTAGACAAAAGAGAAACCAGCTGTGAGGTGGCTTAAGACAAATTCTGCCCAGTGGAGTCTGTTCATTCAAAGTGAGGGCAATTGAATTACATCTTTGGAGAAGAATCAATGCTTGAAGACAGGTTATTATTCTGTTTCACATTCGTGCCCCAAATTATGCTGAGCTACTTTCTGGTTTTCTGTGAACCCACTGTATATCAAAGCAGATGATCTTATTTCTCTATTATGGAATTAAAAATCAGGGTAAAGCTGGGTGTGGTGGCTCATTCCTATAATCCCAGCACTTTGGGAGGCAGAGGTGGGAGGATTGCTTGATCCTGGAAGTTTGAGACCAGCCTGGGCAGCATAATGACATTCCCAACTCCATAAAAAATTTAAAAATGAACCAGGTTGGCTGCATGTGGTGGCTCATGCCTATAATCCCAGCACTTTGGGAGGCCAAGGCAGGTGGATCACCTGAGGTCAGAAATTCAAGACCAGCCTGGCCAACATGGTGAAACCCCATCTCTACTGAATTTACAAAAATTAGCTGAGCATGGTGGTGGGCACCTGTAATCCCAGCTACTTGGGAGGCTGAGGCACGAGAACTGCCTGAACCCATCAGGGGAATTTTTATTAAGCGGAAACTTATAAATGAACATTTTTTACTGGGTATTTTCAAATTAATATAAGTTGCCCAGGCTGGTCTCAAACTCCTGGGATAAATATACCAGAGAATGGCTTGAACCTGGGAGGCAGAGGTTGCAGTGAGCCAAGGCCACACCATTGCACTCCAGCCAGGGTAACAAGTACGAAACTCCATCTCAAAAAACAACAGAAAAATGAGCTAGGTGTGGTGGCACACACATGTAGTGCCAGCTACTGGGGAAGCAGAGACAAGGGGATTACTTGAGCCCAAGAAGTGGCAGCCACAGTGAGCTGTGATCATGCCACTGTAATTCAGCCTGGGTGACAGAGTGAGATGCTGTCTCAAAATAAATAAAATAAAAAATAGGGGCAGGGCCTTCTTTGTGACAAAAAGATTTAAAGCTTCTTCTGGGTTAATGCTGTTTCTACAGTGTAGGTTGCCAAAATTTATTTGAATATATCTAATGTTCATTTATAAGTTTCCACTTAATAAAAATTCCCCTGATGGGTTCACCAGTCTATAGTGATCATGACCCATACTCTTTAGATCATAATGATAATAGCCAACACTTACATTGTGTTCAGTATGTGCCAGGAACTGTTCTAAGTATTTTATATATGTTAATTATTTTTAAAGCAAACTTAACGGTGATTCTTATCCCCATTTTTTTTTTAAAGATTAGGAAATCAAGGGAGAAATAAGTTAAATTGCCCAAGATATCACAGCCAGAAAATGGCTGGCATAGTAATGATTTGACATTTATACATGCTTGCTCCAGAGACTGTTCTTAACAGGGACAACTGCCTCTGTTTGGAATGGAGTTATTGATGCTGTGCATTTTTAAAGTGGATGACAATAAATTCAAACAATGTCAAAAATTGAAACATAGCACAGCAGAAATCATGGCATGACTCAGGGACGAAGACCTGTGAATGACTTAATGGATCTGGGAGAGTCTGGGTTGGCAGCTCTTAATCATTAATGCCTTGGAAACTGTCAATAACCTGGCCAGGGAAAATAAACTGGAGTTAAAGGAGTAATACTTCCTTGAAGGCCCACTGTCGTTTCATATCACTGACTAAAGAAACATTCTGTGCCTGAGCCTTACACAGAAAAATATGCCAGCAATTAGTCTTGGCACTCAACATTTACACATTCTGTAATCTAAGTGCGTGCACATTAAAAAGCTATATTAACCTGATATGAACACAATAGATCACCCAGGAATTCCAACTAGACCTTAAAAAATCTTGCCTGGAAGAAAATTTTGTGTAAGGCATTCGTTTAATTGCCATAACACTCAAGCAGATGTCATTGCTAGCCTCAGAACTAGAATATGAACTACAAACTCAGTGACCCATGAACGTATTGCCAAAGATGGAGTGACTCAATGTTTCATCAAACCAGAAGAGGGCAGCTCTTTAAGTTGACAGGAAAGCTCATTTATAATATCAGTTTCCCTCTCTCCATTCTGCAGGAAACCATGCCAGGACAATTTTTCCACTGTCTGGAAAATGTTTTTATCTCTCTCTCCTCCCTGTTTTTCTCCTTAACCACCCCCACCCTACAACTTTCAGTCAAATTGGTTCAGAGTTTCTCTGTTTAGGAGACTCAGGAACTCAGCAGATTGGTTCAGCAAATGAATAGAACTGCTATAAAATATAAGTTATCACAAGATTTAAAGAAAAACACCTCTTGCTAAAAACAAGACATGGAGGAGGCCAAAAACAAGGAGGGAAACAGGGATTCCTTGTGGTAGTTTAGATGGAGTCAAGGAAAAGTGGGGATAGAGATAAGATGAGATGCCAGAGATTTCGGGGGTGGAGCCAAGGAGGCTTGGTGAAAGGATAAAAATAGCTACCATTTAGTGAACATATTTTAGGGATTGGTACTACATTCATTATCTCAATTCCTACAACAATCTGCTATGAAAGGTCCTTGAAAAATATTCCCACATGGGGTCTGCAACAATCTTCCTTTCCAGGACTGCAGTCAAGATTAATAGGTCATGGCTATTATCCATTATTGTTAAGCAAGAGTCGGTAAGGTCTAGGCATTCGTTCTAAAAACAGGCTGTCTCTCTGCAACAAAGAGAATATGTAGCAAATTTCCTGCCTTTTGGTTTAGAAGTTATGCCTGCTTACAGTTTTATTTTCCATCATCATTGTGGTGGCTTTAAAAATATGTTCACAAATTCTTTGCTATGCCTCTCTTCGGGAGTGCAACCTAGTTTCCTTCCCTTTCAGTGTGGGCTGGACTTAGTGACTCGGTTCTAATGGAGAGAATAAAGCAGAAGTGATGGTGTGTGACTTTGGAGTCTAGGTCATAAAAAGTACTGTGGCTTCCATAGGATACTTTGTTTCTCTCTCTCTTTTTCTGTCATTCACTTGCTTTGGCAGAAGACAGCCACCATGACCTAAGTAGCCTGGTGGCCCTGTGGTGAGGAACTGGGGTACTCCACCAGCAGCCACATCAGTGAGCTTGTAAGTGGATCCCCTAGCTCCAGTCAAGAGTTCAGATGACTGGAGACCTGGCAGACTACTTGATTGGAACCTCATGAAAGACCAACAGCCAGAACGTTGCAGCTAAATGGCTCCCAAATTACCAATCCTTGGAAACTGTGGAAAATAATTAATGCTTGTTTTTTTTTTTTAACCTGTTGAATTTTGGTTGGTAATTTGTAATGCTGCAATAGAAAACAAACAATAATTTAAGGAATAACTTTCTCCTAACGAGTAAGAGACGAGTCACTCAATGTCACCACGAGCCCTGATTTCTGCCCTAAGTAAATTGCCAGAAAGGTCGGAAACATGTCTGCTTCCTCTTGCCACATGCCCTCCAATGGCCACCCACTCAGGCTGGTTGAGACTCAGCTGTTGTATAGATACCCTTCTGCAATCTGTTTCATTGCCGCGTGAGCGTTACTAGCTCCAGGGCCCGGGAAGAGGCAGCCTTTGAGAAGCAGGCAGAAACACCGCATAATATCCGGACACCAGCACCACATCCGATAAGGAATTCTAAGTACGAGTCCCTTTTGGTCACTCTCTTTCTTGGTATATTTCAATGCTTACTTCAGAGATAAGAGAATTAATGTATGGTCTTATCTAGAAAAAGGAGAAATTCCTAGTTCTCCAGAGCCTAAAACATAATCCTTTGAGGAAAAGATAATATTATCCCTATTTTGCAAAAAAGGAAACACCATTTCAAAGGATTACTGCCGGTTTAATTACAAATGTGAAGGGAAGCGTTTATTACAAGTGCACGAAAGATGGAGCTTTTGTATTGCTGCACCAGTCCTGAGAAAAGTAGTAAAGAACTAAGGATAAGGATGAAATTAGGGTGAGTCTGAAAATCACTCCAGAGTTTCCAAAATGCTGTAACCAATTAGATCTGCAACTGTTTCCTAAATCTTCACGATGAAACTGGTTCTGAACCTTTTCTTGAATCACAAGCTACTTGAAAATCCAATAACAGCTGTGGACCCTATCAAAAGCCCCACATTACTG